CGACGTGCTCGGTCAACTAGAGAAGATGGTCCGAGGGCTGCCCCACATCAAGCACGGAGGCGAGCTGTATGGCAGTTGCCTGGCCGAAGCAGAGGAGGCTGCCGTTCCCAAAGGCGGCCATGTATCGTGTGGTGGACGCTCTCGAGCTCGTCCACGGTGACCTCTGTGGGCCAATCACGCCAGCCACAAACAGTGGTCTGTGGTACTTCCTCCTGCTCATGGATGATTGCAGTCGCTATATGTGGCTGCAACTCCGAACGAGCAAGGACGAGGTGGCAGAGGCGATCAAGAAGTTCAAGGCGCGCGCGGAGGCGGAGAGTGGCAAGAAGCTACGCGTGTTGCGGACTGATCGGGGCGGTGAATTCACTTTGGTGGAGTTCGCTGCGTACTACGCGAATCAGGGTATGGTGTGACACCACACCGCGTCGTACTCGCCATAGCAGAATGGTGTGGTGGAGCGGTAGAACCAGACGGTGGGCGGCATGGCTCGATCCATGCTGAAGGCTAAGGACATGCCGGCAAGGTTCTGGGGAGAGGTGGTGACCACGGCGGTGTTCATCCTCAACCACGCGCCCACCAAAGCCCTAAAGGGCAAGACGTCGTTCGAGGCTTGGCATGGACACAAGCCGAATGTGTCCTTCTTTAGGACATTTGGCTGCGTCGACCATGTGAGGAACACCAAGCCTCACCTTGGCAAGCTCGAAGATAGGAGCACACCGATGGTGCTCCTGGGCTACGCGGAAGGTACCAAGGCGTACCGGCTCTACGACCCACATGGAGGCAAGGTGCTTATCTCGTGTGACGTCATGTTTGACTAGAAGGCAGCCTAGGACTGGGACAGTCCGGGCACGGGGGAAGCTGGCGGCTTCACCAGCACCTTCGTCGTCGAGCACTTGATCATCTACGGTGGTGGAGACACTAGAGAAGAGGTGCCTACCACTCCAGCAATAGAGTCGAGCACTCCTGGGGCAGTGTCGAGCACTCCGGGAGGGGTGCCGAGCACTCTAGGAGTGGTGCCGAGTGGTCCTACAGTGGTGCCGATCACTCCAGGATGGGTGCTGAACACTCCTGTAGCGGAGCCAAGAAGTCTTGCAGTGGTGCCTACCACTTCAAGACTGGTGCCAAGCACTCCTGTAGTGGTGCCGACCACTCCAGGAGTGGTGACGAGCAGTCTAGGAGTAGTGCCGAGCACTATAGCCGGGGTGCCAAGCACTTCAGGTGCTGTGCCGACCACTCCGACGGAACAGGGAACTCCATCGACGTCGATCGAGTTTGCCTCACCTCCAAGCGATGTCACTGAGTTCATGGATGCCTTCCACGATGGTGAGGAGGTGCGGTTCCACAGACTGGATGACATTGTCGGTGGCATAGGGCCCTCAGGACTAGTGGATCAGCTGCTCAATGACCCAGAGCTGCTTCTCGTCAGTGCAGAGGAACCACCCACGTTCACGCTAGCCGAGCGCGATGCAAATTGGCGACGGGAGATGCTAGAGGAGATGAAGACGATCGAGGAAAACAAGACTTGGGAGCTCGTCGATCCACCTCCAAGATGCCGTCCGATCAGCCTGAAGTGGGTGTACAAGGTCAAGCGAGATGAGCACGGCGCCATTGTCAAGCACAAGGCGTGCCTCATCGCCTGAGGCTTTGTTCAGCGCGAGGGCATTGACTTCAAGGAAGTCTTTGCACTGGTAGCACGCATGGAGTCTATCCAACTACTTCTAGCTTTGGCAGCAACAAAGGACTGGCGCATCCATCACCTGGACGTAAAATCGGCCTTCCTCAACGGCGAGCTGGCGGAGACAGTCTTTGTCAGGCAACCTTCGGGTTTCGCCATCAAGGGAGCGGAGCATATGGTGCTCTGACTGCGCAAGGCGCTCTACGGTCTATAGCAGGCCCCGCGAGCGTGGAACGCCAAGCTTGACGCCACGCTGGGCGAGTTTGGGTTCACGCGATGCACAACTGAGCACGCGCTCTACACGTGGTGACGGGGGAAGGAGGAGCTCGTCGTCGGCATGTATGTGGATGACTTGATCGTCACCGGCGCACGTATGGAGGACATCGACAGCTTCAAGCGAGAGATGGCGGCTCGTTTTTGAATGAGCGATCTCGGCGCGCTCTCCTACTACCTCGGCATCGAGGTGAAATAGGGGAAGAAGGCACTCACGCTTGGTCAGGGCGCATACGCCTCAAAGCTGTTGGAGCGGAGCGGCATGGCTGAGTGCAAGCCATGCATGACTACGACGGAGGAGAGGCTGAAGCTGACGAATGCTAGTACAGTGGCGAAGGTGTATGCAACACTCTACCGGAGCATCGTCGGCGGTCTGCGCTACCTAGTCCACACGAGGCCAGACATTGTGTTCGCCATGGGCTACGTCAGCCGCTTCATGGAGGATCCCTGAGAGGATCACTAGGGCTGTAGTGAAGCGGCTGCTGCGCTACGTCAAGGGGACGGTGGATCATGGGATCGTCTTCCCAAGACCGGCGAAAGTAGGCTGCAGCTCACTGTGTTCAGCGATGCAGACATGGCGGGGGACATCGACGGATGGTGGAGGACCTCTGGCGTGCTCGTCTTTCTCGGGTCGGCTCCAATCTCATGGTTGTCATTGAAACAGAAGGTGGTGGCACTATCCACGTGCGAGGCAGAGTACGTGGCGATGGCCACAGCGGCGTGCCAAGCTATATGGTTGCGTCGGCTGCTGGGCGAGCTGACCGATGTGGAAGCTCACCCACCAGCACTAATGGTGGACAACCAGCCCGCCATCGCCCTCACAAAGAATCTGGTTCTCCACGACCGGAGCAAGCACATTGACATCAAGTTATACTTCCTCAGGGACTGTATTGATAGAGGGTAGATCGTCATCGAGTTCGTCGAAACTGGTCGGCAACTCACGAACATCCTCAACAAGCCGCTCGGTCGTCTTCGGTTCACAAAGCTGAAGGAGATGATCGGCATGGAGGGGGTTCAAGGGTTAGCAACAGGATTAGGGAAAGAATTGTTAAGTAATCTGCTGCTCCCCTTGTGTGAACGTGTGGCAGGGACAGGCGTCACCGAAAGGGCTCCCTGCTGCTGCGCTGTAGCCACTGTAGGGGCAGGCGCCGCAAGGCTCCCCTGCCGTACTATAGCCATTGTAGGGGCAGACGCCAAAGTCAGCCCTGCTGTCACATCTAGTCACTGTAGCAGTATGGTAGCCTGACATGTCTATGTACTAGGATTAGATGGGTAGAGTTGTATAAATAGTTTGCCACTGCAACTCAGTAAAGAGAGCGAGTTCAGTTTTGCCATCTCATTTATAGAGCTCCGTCCAACGCTGGTGCTTGTGCTGTGTGTGTGTGCTTTGTTCTCCCTCCCTTCTTCTACCTCTAGCCATAGTGTGTGGTCAGCAATGATAGTGCGTGGTCGGTAACGCTGGTGAGTTGTCGACTCACCCGTGCTGGAGATCTAGTGGGCTAACAAGCGCAGCGAATGGAGTCTTCGGCGACGAATGGAGTCTTCGGCAACGCCTCCAAGAAGGTAGGTGACACATGATGTGCCACCGCCGCCGGCCCACAGCAAGCAAAGCAAGGTTTTCACCCAGAATCCATTTAGGGAACGGTCGCCACACCGACCAGTGCCCGGTTATGGCCGTCACTCCGTGGCTGGCCCAAATCGGTTTCGACGAAGGCAGCCATGGCCTCAGCCCTCCACCCCACGAGCGCCACGAAGCAGAGGATGGGACCCACGGGCCATAACGCGAGAGCCAAGAACACGACCACATGCCGCACCGGCCGGCTAGCTAGTGCCAGGTAGCCAACCGCCGGCCGGCAGGCCAGCCAGCTAGCAGCCGCCTACCAGCAGCAACTAGATCTAGCCACCGTGGGGTGGCTAGGGCAGACCATTGGCCACAACACCGGCAGCCTCGACCACGGCCACTGTAGCCGCATGGCCGCGCACGGCACTACCACCCGTGCCATGGCCAGCACCAAGCCATGGCCACCAACCTCTGGCCTCCCGTTCACGAAGCCCGGATCTATGCAGGACGAGGACGTCGCACCTGAGAGGTTTGCAGACGCCACATCCGGCCCTAGGGGGCCCGGATCCGGCCGGCGGGCACCCCATCTCACTGAAGCCGTAGAGCGAGAGGACTAGGGGGAGGAGAGAGGGGGATGGTGGGGGCTATGAACGGGAACCCCCTTTTTGGGGTGGCGGCGGTCGGAGGGGAGGTGGCGAGGGGGGCTGACGGCACAGGCGAGGTTGCCTCAGGGGGCCAGAAATCAGGAAAGTGGCAAGATTGGTGCCCAATTGAGGGGAATCCTGGGCGCACCATTAGCAGGTACTAATATAGAAGCTTAGTAAGAGTGATTGGAGAGAATTAATGGATGATTGGGCTATGTCATGGCCTATCGATAAGGATAGCTTGCATAGGGTCAAGTAAGCCTCTCTATATAAGGAGAGGAGATGTATCAATCTAATCAAAGCAAGAATTAGAAGGAAAAGACTTCTCTCTTGCTCGGGCGTGGGCAAGGCCCAAGCCAACCCCCTCTCTCCCTCTCAACCCGAGCCGCCGCCATAACACCAAGCCAATCAGTTAACCAAATGGATTGTAAACGATCCACAACAAGGGCTGTAATAAGCACATAGGCTGACCATACATGATAACCTAATTTGGTGCGTGAGAAATTGTGCAAAAGTTATATAGAATAACCCAAATCAGGGTTCAACAAAATTGGTACTGATGGTTTCAGTATGAAAATATTATAGAATGATAGAAGGTAAGATATTCACTACTAGAGGCTTGTGAGAAATGGTAAGATTCCATTATGCTTCAACCAAGAAAAATAAGGAAATGCTAGAATGCTACAAGAGTAGAAGAAAAAGCAATACTAGCAAGGGAAAACATTATTGCACATCATAGAACAGAATGGTTTGCACTAGATGTTGGCTTATTAACTAGCTATGCAAAATCAGAACATGAGAGTCAGAAAGAACACATCATAACTCATGACCAAATTAGAGTGGATATTCAATAGTGTACCCATCTAGCATCAGGAAGTAAACGTCCAAGCCTCCCAATTGATACACGAGAGAAGTTGTCGAAATTTTCTTTTATTTCAAAGCCATCAATTCTTAACTTCTCCAAGATAGAATCTATAGATTCTTTTCCCTGGAGAACAGAAAGTTAGTATGGATGCACTACAACATATTCAAGATCATAACAAATTCTATAATACCTGTATGATTGGAAAATACACACACCTCAACCGTGCATGGGCTTTAGAAGAAGCTGTGGATGCAACATGAAAACTAATTAAGGCGACGGAAAAAATCATATCCTAGTTATAATGGAAGAGGATAAATTACCTGTTGTTTTTTGTGTAAATGTCATGTGCAAAATGAAATCAGGACCATTTGAAGAGTGCATATTAGTTACTGTGACTTCACCCTCTTGTATCTCTGATAAATTTACTCCATTAACCTGAAATACATCCACAAAAAGGCATCTCTCAACAAAATAAACTGGTACATAAAAGCTGCACATTTTGTGGCCATGTCGATCATTCCAATGCAACTATGCCAACTTTTCATGTGGACCATTTGATGAGAATTGGGTAGGCTAGATTCTGGGTGGACAAGATCATCATTCATTGCGCCACACAAGGTCCAAATGTTTAATGAGCATATGCGTGCCTCTGTGGTGCACATGAGGAATGAGAGATTATTCTAGGGGATTACATGTAGGTTCCACATTGTTTTTTATTTTCCATTTTCTGCCATGTGTGGACAAACAGGATATGAACGATGATGGAAAAAATTGGGTGACATCAATGCCATGTAGGCCCATCACCATCAGCATTCATAAGAGAGATTTGGACCTTGAGTGCACTGTGAGGGCCGTAATGGGCCATGGCCCCCTTAAGCTAGATCAATTTTTAATGAAGGTCTTAGATTTACTACTTTAGTTGCTAATCAAATATTAATATATCCTCTCTTCTTGTATTTTACATCATATTGGCCCTCTCTCCATTTATGGCCAAGCTCCACCACTGCTCGAGTGAACTAATAATTAGCCAAGTTCATGGACCTAAAACTGCAAACTAATAGTTCGGGGACATATGTGACAATGCCGAACAAGTTTAAGGACCACTAGAGCATTTTCCTCTTTCAAATTTAACTAATCAGTAATGGTCTGATACTGAGATTTGTAGCACTATCAAGTAACGCTAGTCAAACCTCGAATTCCACTGGGTTCCTTGTATTTCTCCATTCATTATCCTCATCATACTGAACAAATTAAAAACAAATCTCATTAGTAAAACTGCACTGATTAGGATATAATCCTAATTTGCAAACAGAATATTACCAAACCCTCCACAGATCTAGTCAACCACTAAAAACATGTAAAAGTGAAGTGCATCAGTACAGCAGTCAAAATAGCTCAATTCTGATGGATCATCTTGAATTCCGAAATTCAACTTGCAGGTGAGCCACATTGTGAGACTCGTGGTAATGTTACTGTTTTGAAAAAAACTCTACAAACATTATTTTGAAAAAAGAGTTATGGGCCACCAATAAGCCAATAAGGCTGGTAACAGGTGATTATCTGGATACCTGATCTCAAGCTTAGTTTCAAGCTTGGACCTATTTTAATTGGATCTTGAGAAACACACCAATTAAGATTGGTTAGTGTGTGGGTATGGCTCTCGATATCCACAAAACAAGACATGGCCGCACCCTCAGAGGTGGCCCAGCCCACAAGATCAAGACGTGCACGACACTGATCGACGTGCACCGCAAGATATTGTATAGTACCAAATAGGATACTTTCCTTGTAACCCTACCCCTCCAGAGTATATAAGGAGAGGCAGGGGTCCCCTAGTCGACAACGACCACATCTCAATGCAATACACCAAAGACACAGGACGTAGGGTATTACGTCAATCAGACGGCCCAAACCTGTCTAAATCGCTGTCTCTACGTCTTATGTCACCATCTGGTTCCTATCACGCACACCTCCACCGATCAATCTACATTTGTGGGATACCCCTCGGAGGACTGTCGAGCATCTTTTGTCGACAGTTGGCGCACCAGGTAGGGGCTCGTGCGTGCTGATCCCTGGCGAACCAGATGGCGTAACTCAAGATCAACATCCTTCAACAAGCACGGCGCACGTCTTCGTACGCGGATTGACACCGCCAAGCTCCGACTACGTCCGTCCTACTCCAACACGAGATCAACTTCGTTCCAGCCGTCAAGCGAGCTGCCCGCGTCGCCGATCAGATAACGCCATACGCCGCCGACCAGACGTTCTGTCTAAAGCTAAGTCACGCTTTAATATTCTTCTAAATATTCTTCAATCCTCGTATATCGCCATAATGTTTTCTCCGAGCTGTTTTCTTCATGTTTGCTCTCCAAATGATTTTCTGAACCCCCAAACAGTCATGTTGACGCTTGAATTTCCCCAGAGGCGGCCCTGTCTTTGGCTCCTCCCTACACGTGCATGAGCGTCTACCCTTTGCGTTATGGGTGGTCGGAAGCGGCTCCTTAGCGACGCTTTGTTCTTCCTACACGCACACGGGCTCCACGCTCCGTGTTATGGTTAATAGGCTAGCTACGGCTGGAGACTCAGCTACACACTAACTAGTCGGGCAGTTTATATTAAATATAAATACATCTTCACACCAACTGATCACCGAGCTACATACGCTATTTCATTGCTATTGCTGATTTTTCTCCGGAGTTCATATATTTTTACATCATGTACTACCCGTTCTACATATTTGTATTGCAAGATCATCGTCCAGGTGATCGGACCACCTGGTGCTCGGACTTCTCCACCAATCAACTGGTCGGACCGCTAGGTTCATGGACTCCGTCGCCGACCAGTTGATCGGACTGTTCGCCGGTCGCTTCTACTCAATGACTCACTTCGTCACCGACCAGTTGACTAGACTGTTCGTCGCTCGTGCTTCATCGCCAGCTATGTCGGTTACTCCTCGGCGCTCGGATTCTTCGTGCTCGGGGACTAAGTGGCCACACTTCACCCCACTTCACCTTGCGGACATCGCCTGGCTATGCTGGGAACTCCTCTGTGCTCGGACATCGCCAGCTACGCCGGAGACTCCTCGGTGCTCGGACATCGCCATCTACGCCGGGGACTCCTCGGTGCTCGGACATCGCCAGCTACGCCGCATCGGTGTGCTATCAAGCTGCTCCATGCTGTTTGAATCAGGGTGCTGATCTTGAGAAGCACGTCTGGGGTCTTGATACGCGCATGTCAGACGACGTCGGCAAGCTTTCAGACTTCTTTTTCTTTGACCCTGCTACAAGATTCATTCTTCATCTTCTAGCAGGCTCGGGGACTAAGTGGGCACACTTCACCTTGCGGTGAATGTGCGCTTTTCGATTCGAGGCTCCGCTCGTGGACTGGTTGCCTGCTCAGCCGGTCTTCTGCCTTTCTTCTACTTTCTGACCCTGGCACCACGTGACTACGTCACTTACTGTTAGGCTCGGAGACTAGCTGTGGGGGTATGGCCCCCGGTATCCATAGGACAAGACATGGGCCGCACCCTCAGAGGTGGCCCAGCCCACAAGATCAAGACGTGCACGGCACTGATCGACGTGCACCACAAGATATTATATAGTACCAAATATGATACTTTCCTTATAACCCTACCTCTCCAGAGTATATAAGGAGAGACAGGGGTCCCCTAGTCGACAACGACCACATCTCAATGCAATACACCAAAGACACAGGACGTAGGGTATTACGTCAATCAGACGGCCCAAACCTGTCTAAATCGCTGTCTCTACGTCTTATGTCACCATCTGGTTCCTATCACGCACACCTCCACCGATCAATCTACATTTGTGGGATACCCCTCGGAGGACTGTCGAGCATCTTTTGTCGACAGTTGGCGCACCAGGTAGGGGCTCGTGCGTGCTGATCCCTGGCGAACCAGATGGCGTAACTCAAGATCAACATCCTTCAACAAGCACGGCGCACGTCTTCGTACGCGGATTGACACCGCCAAGCTCCGACTACGTCCGTCCTACTCCAACACGAGATCAACTTCGTTCCAGCCGTCAAGCGAGCTGCCCGCGTCGCCGATCAGATAACGCCATACGCCGCCGACCAGACGTTCTGTCTAAAGCTAAGTCACGCTTTAATATTCTTCTAAATATTCTTCAATCCTCGTATATCGCCATAATGTTTTCTCCGAGCTGTTTTCTTCATGTTTGCTCTCCAAATGATTTTCTGAACCCCCGAACAGTCATGTTGACGCTTGAATTTCCCCAGAGGCGGCCCTGTCTTTGGCTCCTCCCTACACGTGCATGAGCGTCTACCCTTTGCGTTATGGGTGGTCGGAAGCGGCTCCTTAGCGACGCTTTGTTCTTCCTACACGCACACGGGCTCCGCGCTCCGTGTTATGGTTAATAGGCTAGCTACGGCTGGAGACTCAGCTACACACTAACTAGTCGGGCAGTTTATATTAAATATAAATACATCTTCACACCAACTGATCACCGAGCTACATACGCTATTTCATTGCTATTGCTGATTTTTCTCCGGAGTTCATATATTTTTACATCATGTACTACCCGTTCTACATATTTGTATTGCAAGATCATCGTCCAGGTGATCGGACCACCTGGTGCTCGGACTTCTCCACCAATCAACTGGTCGGACCGCTAGGTTCATGGACTCCGTCGCCGACCAGTTGATCGGACTGTTCGCCGGTCGCTTCTACTCAATGACTCACTTCGTCACCGACCAGTTGACTAGACTGTTCGTCGCTCGTGCTTCATCGCCAGCTATGTCGGTTACTCCTCGGCGCTCGGATTCTTCGTGCTCGGGGACTAAGTGGCCACACTTCACCCCACTTCACCTTGCGGACATCGCCTGCTATGCTGGGAACTCCTCTGTGCTCGGACATCGCCAGCTACGCCGGAGACTCCTCGGTGCTCGGACATCGCCATCTACGCCGGGGACTCCTCGGTGCTCGGACATCGCCAGCTACGCCGCATCGGTGTGCTATCAAGCTGCTCCATGCTGTTTGAATCAGGGTGCTGATCTTGAGAAGCACGTCTGGGGTCTTGATACGCGCATGTCAGACGACGTCGGCAAGCTTTCAGACTTCTTTTTCTTTGACCCTGCTACAAGATTCATTCTTCATCTTCTAGCAGGCTCGGGGACTAAGTGGGCACACTTCACCTTGCGGTGAATGTGCGCTTTTCGATTCGAGGCTCCGCTCGTGGACTGGTTGCCTGCTCAGCCGGTCTTCTGCCTTTCTTCTACTTTCTGACCCTGGCACCACGTGACTACGTCACTTACTGTTAGGCTCGGAGACTAGCTGTGGGGGTATGGCCCCCGGTATCCATAGGACAAGACATGGGCCGCACCCTCAGAGGTGGCCCAGCCCACAAGATCAAGATGTGCACGGCACTGATCGACGTGCACCACAAGATATTATATAGTACCAAATATGATACTTTCCTTGTAACCCTACCTCTCCAGAGTATATAAGGAGAGGCAGGGGTCCCCTAGTCGACAACGACCACATCTCAATGCAATACACCAAAGACACATGACGTAGGGTATTACGTCGATCAGACGGCCCGAACCTATCTAAATCATTGTCTCTGCGCCTTGTGTCACCATTCGGTTCCTATCACGTGCACCTCCACCGATCAATCTACCTTCGTAGGATACCCCTTGGAGGACTGCCGAGCATCTTTTGTTGATAGTTAGCCGCACTGTACAAGTCCATTGCACAGTCAAATTATGTCAGGGAAGATGCACAAATGAGTATTATTGTTTCAATTTAATTACAATGCCCTCATTTAATAGATTAGTTTCCTGGAGCTATTCAAAAGGTTCAATAGCTTTGTGCTTCTGGCTTTAGTT